TTTTTTTTTTTTTAATGGTTTAAGTTACGTTGTTAATTTTTTTGTTTATTTCTTTTACTTTTCTTTACTTCGTTTTCTAAGCGCAACAATAAAATCGGTTAGGCAATTTTTCAACGACGACAATTAGGACACACGATTTACGTAATCGTTCAGCGAGCAGACACTTAGAAAACTACGCGCTCTACGAAGTATTACACACGATTAAAACTAATATTGTACAACGTTTCATCGTAAAATTAGTTTTTTTTTTTTTTTCTTCTTTATATCCACGTGGTGTAATGTGTATATGTTTGTATTTGTTTATGTGTGTATTACATGTGTATTGGCGAAAAGACATTAAGAGTCTCTATTCTCTGTCTCTCGCACGCTCGCTCACACGCACACTCACTCACGCATACATTCTATTATAATTTTATTTTACGTCCATATGTTCCTTCCATTATTATAAGTTATTAAGAATTCTTCTCAATCTCTTTATTTAGATTTAATCATTAAGTCTATTTATAGGCAGATACGTTTGCTTTATCGAAAGGATAAAGTTATCATTCTAAATAAGTAATTAAATATTTTTCAACGAACTTTGTTTTAACGCAATCAACGCAATTCCTTTCTATTTTTATCGAAAATATAAGAAATAATATTTGAACTTTTAAATACATTTAGTGAAGGAACATCGGTCTTTACAAGAGAGCAGAAAATCGATATAACGATGATTATTTTATGAAATCATTGGAATATTAAAATAATGGATAAAACATGGATCGACTTTTGATTATGGAAGTAAGTATATTATAGTATACTTTAGCATATAATAGCTTTCAATACTAATTGTAAGATTGTCCGTGATTGGCCAATTTAACGCATATTTCGAAGTTTCAGTCATATTAGGACAATTGAAATTTCATCGCGTTGAAATCTTTTAAAAATAGTTACGTAAATTCTCTAATATTAAAAACAAATAAATTTTTTACTTATAATAATAATAATAATAATTAATACGACAAAAAAATCTTTTTAATTGAGGATCTTTTTTCTTATATTAAAAACCAGGAGTTTTTGTGTGTGTGTGTATATTTAGCGAAAAGAAAATAAACGATTTCTCTTGTATTATTAATTAAATATTAAATATTTCTAAATATCGAGTTGGATCGGTTATTGCGGACGGTAATTCGGACTGTGTGTTTTGTGAAAACACTCAGTTAACTCTCATAGCGTCTATCGATAACAAATTGTTAACCCGGTGTATCTGACATGCATAATTTATAATTTCAGTAAATAGTGAGAGTTCTTAACTATGTTGATACGTAAAGCATAATTATATTATGATKGRGTTTWCYYAATRWKYTKAKTGWGWMARKAAAAARSRAAWTWACTTKYYAAATMATWWAWAWWAAAAAAAAAAAAAAAAAAAAAAAAAAWAMAWWAATAAATCGATTATACTGAAAAATAATATTCATCTTAAAATAGATACAGGAATGTTATACTAGTTAATAACCCGTCATGTTTGTAAATGTTTTCGAGACTTAATTAGCAATGCAAAAATATTAATCGCAATATTATACATTTAAAAAAAAAAAAAAACGATCGATCGCTCCCATAATAAAAGACTTTTTGTTTTGGAATAGAATTTACAATTCTGAATTACTTTATCAAGTAACAAATACCCGAGGATTTTTTAAGTGTCGATTTAAGATGAATAAATTGCGAGTAAGATTGAGAAAAGAAGGGAAGGATCACTCGTGAAATAGACGATGATATTGGATGGGAAAGAAAGATGAAGGATGTCGGTTTGAAGTTGGAAAGGGTCCGTTTGTAAATTGTGTCGTTGAAAGAGGGTTCGGTTAAAGTGTGAAGGAGGAGTCTCTTTATGCCACGGTAGCTTGTACTACAACGAGACATCTCACGATAATAATTGTAGCTGCGTGTACAAGCATCTCTTGGTCGCATACACGCTCGATTACACGCGTCACAAACAGACATACAACGTATAAACGACAAGGAAATGTATGTTATTACGTTTGGAGATCACCAGATGAGAAAGTTGCTCCTTTCCCGTCATGCTATTAGGTCATCTATCGTTGTTGAACTAACACCGTGGGAATAGACATCTCTAGCAATTAAACACAGACAACATAGAAGTTTTCAATAAAGTTTCAACGATTTCAAAGATAATAATAACTAACTTTATAAGTATTGGAAAGTAATCGATCGTTAAATAGGAAAATACTACTTTCATATAAAATCGACTTATTCAAGATTTAAAATCAAAAAGAGAACAATATGATGAAGCTTTGTAAAGTAATACTAAAGACTTAAGAAATACACTAAAAAGAATCCTATTCTTTTAACGATACTTGCAAACTAGGTATTTATGTATTTATCCTTTGCAAGTACAGTCATTTACCGTCACTCAAGAATCGTCCAACTCGCCTCTATTCTTTCGATTTCCCATCCTCCTATCTCTCTTCCTCACCTTTTCCCTTGATCACTTTTTCTATCTTGTTAGCCGAAATATCGCGAAGATGAAATGTCGGGAGAACAGGATATGGCAGGTATGCAGATAGGCAAGTAAGTAAGTAAGTAAGGTAGGCATGCAGGCATGCAGACAGACAGACTGACAGACAGACAGACAGACAACAGACGGATAGGAAATTTCGGCATCGATATTGACGGCCAGAGTAATTTAGCCACTTACTAATGGCAACGCGTAAGTAAAGTGAGTTGCTCATGATTCGAGACACGTGTGCTGGTTTGGATGGCGAGATATATCGTTCTAATGCTTCGTATAGCATGCTATATCGAATGTATGTACATACGTATATACATACATACATATATACATATGTCTCTCTGTACATGTGCAAACATGTAGAGAGATATATCTATATGTGCATTTACTGCGTACACATACATATGTGAACCGCATATGTATATACGTGTATATATACATTGGTGAGAATAATTCGTAATTCGTGCATACGCGAAATACCGGTCGATCGACGAAACGACGCGGAACATGCTACGGTCATTGTCGACGTTGTCGGCCTCCCCGCCGAGGTTTTCTTCCTATCGTCGTCTCGGTGCCGAGCAAGCACGGGGATCTCGCTCCGAGAGCACGTCAAAATACAAAACTACAAAAATATACTCGCGAGACCGCGCCGGCCGTATATGAGATCCTTTCATCCTACACACACTCTCTCTCTCTCTCTCTTTTTCTATTTCTATTTCTTTCTCTCTCTATGTTTCTTCCTTTCTTTCTTTCTGTTTTTTTTCCTCCTCTCTTTTCCTCCGTATATTTTCACTCTTTGTTCTTTCCTCTTTTATTTCATCGTTTCTCTTCTTGTATTTACATATAAACAATGTTCAATGACAATTCACTCACGACTCTGTGTATATATGTACATTATAGATCGCAGCTCGGCCGGTTTCTCTTTTAAAAAACGAACAACAAACGGCTCGCGATTCTTTCTTTCTTTCTTTCTTTTCCGTTTCTTTCTCTCACTCTCTCTCTTTTTTTTTCTCTCTCTCTTTCTCTCTAGGCCGCTGAAAATATCGCGAGACGAAGTTCCTTCCTTCGCGCATCCATACTACTACGTCTTCTTCCTCTCTCTCTCTTTTTTTTTTTTATTTTACTTTGGCGAACTTTCCTTTTGTTATCTGGTTGTTTTTTCTTCTTGTTTTTATTTTTTCTTTGCAAAAAAAGATAGACGGGAAGAGAGCTGAGAGTTGGCACCTGTATTTATCGATTGAATCTAATTACATAATTCTATATTATCCTTCACTCTGTTTCATTTCTCTTTATCATTTATTATTCGTTTATGTAAAAAAAAAAGGCCGAATGGAAAATAATCAAAGAAAACAATCTTTTTCTTATAATGTAATTAACTCGTTAAAGTATAACAAATATTTAAAAGATAATTTTTAAAATTAATTGTTATTTACTTTTCGCGCTTAGAGTTTATTATATTATATTATTTATGTTAATCGCTTATTTTCAGAATCTTAAGGAAAGAATAATCGAACGATCCGCTAACTTACTTTCAAATAACAAATGCATAATATTGTCCATATGTTATGCGTTACGTTTCGGAAGTACAGCATTCGCGAATAGTTAGATCTTTCGAATAGAATTTTTTAGTCATTTGTATTTAAAACCCAAATATTCCGCAGTTAAATGTTTGAGCTTAAACATGACTAATTTGCAACGATTCATAATCTAATATTATTCTTTTCACAATGTCGAAAACGAAGGGGTCGTGTTATTTATTATCTAATAATACGTATATACGTACATACGAATGTTGAAAATTGATATTATAGTATTTAGTGAAAGGCAAAGGAGTAATCGATCGAATGAGATAAGTGAGAAATAGAAACGAAACGTATTTCGTATAAACATATTTAAGTAAAATTAAATATGTATGACAATAGGAAGCTGGAAATCTTTCGACTAGCATATTTGAAGAAATAGTCGATACTCATCAATTCGGATAGTAAGAAAATATTTCGATATATAGATAGGTGTATATATACTGCGGAGACTTTACTTTTCAGCTCAAGGCCGATAAAAATGGAAATTTATCGTCATCGTAGCTACGAGATCTTCGAGATTCAGGTACAATCACGTAATATCGTATATCGCCATTCGATCTGTCTACCTTTTTACGTCTTTATCTTCAACTTACGACGATATTGACCGTTTTATTTCGACCTCTGAAGGGTAAAACTCGAGTTTTTTTTCTTCTTCTTCTTCTTCTTCTTCTTCTCTCTGTTTCTGTTTCGTTCGTTCAGCTTTCGCGTTCACGCGTTTTCTAAATAAACGATAGCAATCCGTAGCAGCGATCGAATGCAATACGGGAAAGCTTTTTTCGCTAACACGATGTTCACCGTTGCCAGCAGTATTTCACACGGCAGATTCCTACCACTCTTTCCGGAAGGTTCGTTCTTTGACACTAGATTTATTGGCCACGAACCACCAAAGATCGTTATAGTTTTGTTGCATTTTATTTCAAACCATCTTCTTCGAGTCTATCCACCTTTTCTTTTTACCCTGAGAGAGAACATTTTTACGATCCGACATTGTACAACTTGTTGCAAGTGGCACAACACCGATTAATAGAAGAACGTATTTTATTTTTTCTAATTTTACAAATTTATTTCTTAATAAGACTTACAAGTAGTCCGAAATATTAAAAAAGATTCGATTTTTATTCTATTTTTGCCAGTTGTCTTACTGCAACAAAAAATAGGTTAAATATTGGAAATAATTTTGTAATATGAAACGTTCTTCAATTGGAAAGATGTTTGAAATACTTTGCTCAATCTTGTTAAGTCTTTCATGAGTGCAAAAAGCTTCTAAAGTCGAAGAACTATAAATTAGAAATGCTTAGTCGATTACGAAATGGAGCAGTAGACGTTGAACGGACATTAAAGAATAGAATCTAGAGTTGGTGACTCGAATCCGATCTTTCATCTAGGATTAAATCGACATCACGTTAGCCAAGCTTGATTGATTCTTTTGAAAATAAGAAACCACGATAAATAAATAAAATATCGTTGGAAATATCAGAAGAATTATTTTCTATCTTAACAAATAGATATCATTTCTAGCCAATATATATCGAATAAGATAATAGAAATTTAAAACTAAATTATCCTATTATTTCTCACTTACTCATTGCTTCTCGATTTCATGAATTTATCAACGTTGTATGCAATAATTTCGGTCAACACATTTCGCGATATATAATATTCGTAAATGTATAATCGTGAAATCGTTCTGGTCTCTCGCATTTCGGACGAGCCGATGAAATGTGAAATAGAAAAATGAAAGAAATGAAAATATTACGATCGGAAAAATAACATGGAAGGAGGAAAGAAAATGGAAAAAAGAAAAAAAAAACACATATCGAGAGAAAGAGCGATAATAAATCGCATCCCACGCAAGATATAATCCGTATTCTTCGTTCCTCGTCAGCTCGACGTTCGATAAAACGAGGAATCGTTGTCCTCTCGTCATCGTCATATCGCAGCAGTATCGTTTCTTCTTCCGAATGAAGAATTGCATTGACTTGCACTAGCGTCGGAAGAAGAATCATCGAAATCTTCGAATGAAGGCACTATTGGTTTCTTTCCCGAGTTCGTCGGCAACTCGATAGAGTTAAATGGCTCGACGTAGTAGTGGCGGGAACGAAGAAGAAGGAAGACCCGACGTCCTCATCGTCCATTATATTCGTAGGATCATACTTCCGTACCGTCCTCATCCTCATCCTCGTAGAGAGGTCCATTGGTCGATTTCTTTTTAGGTTTTGGAGGTGGCCTCGGTGGAATTTTCCTACCTAACGTGTTGTTACCTTGTTGTTGTAGCCCGAGGGATCTAGAGCTGATATCGAGAGTCTCGTCAGCTAATTTAATGGACCAATCAGAAATGGCCTCGGGGGCAGCACCCTCGGGCGCCGATCTATCAAGGGTACCGAGTGCGTTCGAACTTCCAGCTAATATGTTGGGAGTGCTTCGTTGCATGGTCGCATAATGTGAGGTCGGTGTACCAGGAATCTGCCTTCCTCTGACCGAAGGTCCGCTCTCCGGACTTTTATTTAGGGAAAGCACCGAGCTGCCATCTGCTGTAGTACGTAGGCCTAAATTATCATAGACGGGTTCTAATACGTCCGTAGGCGATGTCGGTGGGCCGCTGCTCCAACTGGGAGCTCTGGGTCTTCTCGGAATGGTCACGTATCCGTGACGAGGCATAACTGGTGCCACTGCAGAACCTGCAAGCCCGTATGGTGTGACGCTTCTATTATGAGGAAGAGTCTTGAAAGTTGCAGGATATTGTCCAAGCGGTGAGCTATAGCCCAAAGACGTAGGACTTGAGGTTGAGTGTTGTCGTTGTTGCTGTTGTTGCGATTGATGTTGTTGATGTTGTTGGCTAGGAAGACGAGTGTTGTCTGGTGCTGTAGAAGCTTGACTAGTCGGCGAGGCGCCACGACCGCCGGAGAAAGCCAACAGGTCCGGCGGATACTGTCGGTAAGTGGTATTTCCGACACGGCTTAAAGTTCCACCGGCGCCCCCGTTATCGAATTCTGTCGTCCTCGTACCCTCTTCTCTTTCCTCGTCCAATCCTCCGCCAACCACGTTGCCAATCACGCCGCTACCGACCACACCGTCAGCTGTCAAAACAGAAACAAAGGGGAAGGACGAACGTTAAAAAAGAAAATTTTTAAAAGAGCTTACGCGAACAAATAAATATAAACTTAAAATAAAAAGACAGAGATAGAGAGAGAAAACTGTACGGCAGACCGATACTTTGTCACGATTCTTTTTCAAAGTAACCCGTATTTTTTACTGACGATTGAAAATCAATTTTCTCAATATATGCGTTACTATCGTTTGTATCAATTAAAAAATTCCTTAAAGAAATACTAAACTCGACAAGTTTCCTTTAGGAGAGCTACGATTACGTCACTAAATTATCCGTCGTCGAAGTAAACAATTTTTTCAATACTTGTGATCGGATAGATACTTAACTTTGTGATAAAAGTGAAGCCAGTAACTTATTGATAAAATACTCGGAAAAAAATTATCATATAACTTTGGTAAGAAAGAGAGCTCGCGACTAACGAAGTGACGAAGTGCAAACTCGACTTTGCCATGTCTCGAAGTTTATATTAGGATCGTTGTAGCGTTATAGTCGATGTCACGATCGAAGTCTCGACATAATGATCGGGATCTTTATTTCTCTAACGATGCCGTACGTTAACGAGTACCGTATTAAGCCTTGCACCCGTCGAAGAACGGTAATCCGAAACCAACCGATCATTTATCCTGTCATGATAGAAATTAACGTTCCATCAAGGATGCAGTATTAGCATGGTTGAATTACATCGCACAATCTACAAATTTTTACAACACGTATTTCCTTTTCTTTTTATTTATCTTGTATCTGTCTGAAATTAATTAAAAAAAAAAAAAAAAAAAATATGACAAGTAGAAAATGTCATAAAATATTTACAAGAAGCTATTGAAATTCTATTATTTTGTCTACGTTATGTATCATCTACGTATGCATTTTTTAAAAGCGTAACTTGGAAAAATTTTGCAGGTAACGATAAAGCAACGTGGCAATAAAATAATACAAAAGAGAAGAGAAAATGTTGGGAAAATCTAATTTTACACGAAGAAAAGGAAAGAGAAGAGAAAGGAAAATAAAAAGAAAATACAAATTATATGCTATAACGAATATAATGGAGAGAGTGGACTTGGGCAATCTCTAGCGTGCATATTGAAGTCATGGCGACCGGATCCACCGACCAGTCCAGTCGGTGGAAACTCACAAAGCCAATATGGAGGAGGCGAAGAGACGTTTGCAATTATTTACGGCGCGGTCGAGAGCCGGTCCTATTGTGGTTAAGCAGCGAACGCAAAAGGGAAAGATCCGCCGTCTCTCTATTATGTGAACATAATTTGGACAAGGTAAACGTTGTATTCATTCCTCTGCATTTCGAAGTAATAGTAGGTATTGTCGAAATTGAAAATACTAACTGAAAAGACTATTGTCGAAAATTCATATGTACGATATTTCCGACAAAATATCTTTGACATACAATTACCTACTTATTTAAAATCTTTAAGTTATCTGAATTTTGGTAATAAAGAATTCATTGGTAAAGAAAATAATTTGCAATTGATATCTCTGCAAACTAATAAGTAGAAGATAAAAAGAAAGATGTCGTTGACCGTTTTGCAATGAAAACTCGTGCAGAAATAGCAGCGTCAATCTCGCATTAACATTTCATTTTATTCGACACATTGTCCTGATTTTCATGCTTCTCTATTATATTCATCCACGGAAAGAGAAGTATTATCATGAAATATTAGTGAGATTTGCTATTTTTTTATTTCTAATTATGACTTTTCTTTTTTATACGGCAAAATACTGTTATTTCACAAGAAATAATAAATATTTATTTTGACCAAACGATTGTTTAGATTAAAAATTTGTTATTTTTCCAAAAATATTCTATTGCATAGAATTTTTCTGGTCTGCAGTAAACGAATAACTTGCGTATAGAAATAAAAAAAAAAAATGTCGATTATAAAAAACATTTCATTCGATACCACGTTGTTTTCTCCTCGTTTCATTTAAGTTATATTAGTTTTGGGAAAAATGTTTCTCTCTCTCCTTTTCCTACGTTTCCATTCTGCTTTCTCTTTACCTCTCGTTCTTCTCTTTTCAACTCACAGCTTTAGATATGCAGTGTTTTTGTCGCGATCCTCAATATTTGCATATTCGTATAGAACAAACTTTATTGACGAAAGAATTTCATGTAAAATAAAGAGATATTTATATTTATTCATATCCAGCAAAAGATAAAGTGAGATCGAAGTTTCACGTTAACAACTAATTTTGTCCTTTAAAAAGACATGTTTAAAAATAAACCTGGGTAGTTTTTTAACTCATAAATATATTATTACTTCTACCTGATGATTGGAAGAAACGTATAATAAACATCCAGATTATGGAGAAATTCGTTTGGATCGATACGTCAGAAGATTCATACTCGTTAATGCGATGGCTTTTTTGGTGCATTCTTTATTTACCAAAGAAGCTATTTAGCCAACGAGTAGATCGAATAATAAATCTTTTTACCGTGAAAAAAGGATCGCTTTTATCAGTGACTTTAAATTAAAGTCTCGTTTTTATCTAGCGGGTCCTGTTTCTCTTAACAAAGCGATTGTACCGCGTGCTTGCTCGATCGTATCGTCCTAAATCTTAAATCGCTATATCGACCTCTGTAATTCTAATCAAGAGAGCGCGTTGAATTTTTGTACCTTTTCTTCGTAACTCATTATTGTATTTTTACTATTGTGAAACTTGGTTTTTTATAAATTACAATCTAGCTATATACATTATTAAATTGTTCAATATTCCATCGGTTGATTATATGATACAATATTTATAAAAGTTTTGAAATATTATATTAAATAAATAACCCATAGAGGTATAGATTATTTTGATGGAAAGAAAACTTGGAAAATTTAGTTAAACTTTTATAGGAATAAAAATGATATTTCCATTTCCAATAATCTTAAGATAAACGTACGCTCAACGCTCTCACGAGTTACATTCGATGCTCGTTAACGTCAGAGTGAACGCGGTGTATAGGAGCGGCCGTTGCGGTTGACCGATCGTTACTCCGGCTAGCACCTGACGGCACATTGTTTAGTTATATATGCAGTGTACTGACCGAAGACCGAGTCGTTGTCGAGAAGGGTTCGGTTCAGCTCCGTCATTTCGGTGCCGTGCGACGTCACGGAAGGTGCCTCGTATCGCCTGGCTGCTTTAACCGTGCTGGTATTTATAGTTGTGATTAGAGACTTCTCTTGTTCTCCCAGACTGTGATGTTCCAAAGATGCTGCTTCCAAGCCTTTCTCATCGTGATGACTTCGACGTCGTCGACAATAGCAAGCACAAAGCGTCATCGTGACGAAAAAAAGTAAAAGGGCTACGATACCGAGTCCTATAGCTAACGGTAGGCTGATCGTACTATCCCTACCACCAATAGTATCACCCACGATACTCAAAGTTACATTCCTCTCTACACTACCACCTGGATTCTTTGCAAGACAAACGTATTCACCTTTGTCAGATGCACTAACGCCAGGGATAGTCAGATTCAACCAATCGTTGCTGGACTCGATAATATAGCCACGTTCTCCGTTAAGTCGTCTGCTTTGATTATTTAGTATTTTTGATCGATACACCCAGACGAGCTGTAAACAACAATATAGGAATATTTCGTTAAATTTAAAAATATAAAAAGTAGGAGAGAAATGTTGTTAATCTCTAATAAAAAAAATTCCATGTTTACTAACGTTAGATAGTACTTCAGAAATTATTGTTTCATTTCTAATCGGTAAGATCATCGCGAAACTAAATAAGTTAAAAACCAACGCGAGTCAACATCGCGTGACACTTTTCATCCGTGTAAGCTAATGTCCAATTTTAATTCGATTCATAAACGCAATGACTTGACAGTCCTAAGTATGACGGATCGTGAACACAATGTACTATAATACCTAGTTAAGATACTGGGTATATGATCGCATTCGTCATATCCGTAAGCGTGCGTGATAAGCAATGTATTCTCACTTGACTTTTCGAATGTCACGAGACGCGAGACAAATATGTCCCACTAGATCTTCCGTGAATGTATAACCCGGAACAGACAAACGTGTTAGCGTTTAAGAAGAAGGAAATATGTTCTACGTGATAGTCCTTAGTTAGAAATATCGTACGCGTTCAAAAACCTTTTAGAATCGTTCAAGTGAAATCAGTAAAATGAAAGCGAAAAAATTGATGTTAAGAAAAATAAAAAATCAAGTGTTTTTTTTACTGGTGTCTTTTAACTAACAAGTTAGAACTTTCTGTAAAATGTCGTGGTATAAAATCAAAGGAGAAACGCTATTTACCTGAGGTCGAGGAGTACCCGTAGCTCTGCACCAAAGTTTAGCATCTCCTTGGCCGATCTCGTGTTTTCCCGTTGGTCCAATAGCAAATATTTCCGGGCTGCAAGCAAAGTCATCGCTAGCTACCTCGTCCCACATTTTCCCAGCAAGAGTTTCTGGCTTCTTGCAAGTAGTAGGCTTCGTGTACAATTTCCGCTCTATCGTCCAGTCGCGAAATGTCTTGAGTAGGCAATTACAATTCCAAGGATTATTCTGAAGCTCGAGACTGTTCAACTTTGGTAAATTCTCGAAACTGTGAAGATTAAGTAAGCTTAGATTATTCCCATCTAAGGTGAGTGACTGTAGTCCAGGTAAATTGCGGAAAGTCTTATTCTCGATTCCTTCCAAATCATTATCGGATACCTCGACCTTTTGTAAAAAGGTCAAGTTGTAGAACAAACCATCTTCTAGGACCTTCAATTCGTTCTGATTCAAGAGTAGTACTCTGAGTCGTAGGGTCTCGACGAAAGTACCCGGATAGAGCATTTTAATGTTGTTAGCTGAGAGATCAATCTCGATTATGATCTTCAGTGCTCTGAATGCCTTAGGATGAACCGTCTCGATTCCGCATTCTCGCAGTACCAGTTTGTGAAGATTTACGAGATTGTTCAGTTTGAAGATGTCTTCGATTAAGTGGGGTATTCGATTCCCGGTGAGATCAAGACTCTGAATTTCCGACGACAAGTTTTGCGGTACTTGCGCTAAATTCTGCCTCATACACTCGGCCGTCTTCTTACCGGACACCCATTTGCATTTACACGACGACGTCGTGCACTGCATCCAGTCTTGCACGACGTCTTGTCCTCGGCACATGGCCACCATTGTCAGCATCAAGTAGAGTAACAACCTCGCCGTTGTCAACTCCATCCTGAGAATTTCTATTAACAAAGACAAATGTTGGTCGTTGATAAATCGCATTAAAACACGTAACATTAATACGTATTACAATATAACGCGCAGTAATACTATTTATTTTTCCATGATAAAAAACAAAAGATCAATGTATTCATATTCAAGCTTATAATTAATATCATTTTCACAACAGAAGTAGTAAAAAATTAAAATAACAAATACACATTAATTTTCATTCTCTATTTATATTTATATTATTAAAAATGTCTTTTTTAATACAATTTAAAATTACGTTTTATGAAAAAGTTTATTATTTATTAGAGCATATTTGAAACGTCGTAGTTGGTGCAAGTGGTTATTATCCGTAGTTAGTGGAGTTTCATATCTCTAAACAAGTAAAATTCGCTGTAACTCCACTTTATGCTTTTATTATCCATCGCCCAAACTTTCGAATCTTTCTCTCTCTCTCTCCCCCACCACTTCATCTTCAAACTTGGTTTAACTATTCAAATTGTAATCGATATTTATTTTTATTTGAAGCAATTATCCACTATCTACATACAAATATTCTTTTCCTTTCGGAGAAGGATAAAACGAGTTATCGATGAGGAAGTATTTAAATTGAATAAATGCCAGGGCATTGTAACGAGAATTTTGTGGTTAACGCTAAAGTTCGAAAAGCTTTTGAAATATCAGCAAGCGATACCTACTCCTTATGAAAATGGAAAAACTTTGCGTTACTATTTTTCCGAGAAACGAGAAGAGTCGTTAGGCAAGCAAATTTCACGGATTTCTCGAGAGAACCTCGTTAATCATAGAAATCTTTTTAACGGGTGGAAGCTAAACGCTCTCCTAGAAGTAAATCGTTTGGAAAGCAAGATTTCGATGCGTCGTTTAACAGAAAAGGGAATTTCCGTTGGCTACTATTGGAAGCAGGAGTTATCTTCACTCGCCCTTTTAAACTTTCTTATTCCCGACATCTCTATTTTCTTTTACTATCATCAAGGATAGGATCCTTGTTTACCGTCGTCTCGTTTTCTAATTTTGAAAGGAGTTACACAACCGGTAGGTAACTTCGGTAATTTAGCTTAATATCGTTCTCTGCCTTTCTCTTTCATTTGGAGATGGTGGAGTCGGCAGGCCGTGCCGTCGACGTGTCGCCAAAGTTAAATTAATACAACACGGCAAGGGGGCGAGTCCGAAGAGGCGTGCTTATACTCGAGCGTACACTTTACTCCTTTTATTATTGCTGAGACCGTGGGGTCCGAGAGGTTGGTTGTGCATCAAATTACTCTTTTCGCCAGCAGGCAGAACCCGATGCAATTCGTCGTCCTGTTCTCTTTTACTCCCTCTGGGACGTAGTACGCGAAAAGTAGAGAAACAGAAAGAAAGAAGGAAAGAGATGGGGGGAAAAAGAAGAAAAGGATTTGGACTGTGGATGTGTAAGCTTGTACACCGTCATGGCGCCAGTCTTACCATTTGAATTTATTCCAAAAGTCGGCGAAAGAGCTGACCGAGTTATAGCGCGGTGGTTAACGGAAATCGCTCGGAGGGTTATAAATTTCAATGTCGCACGATAGAAGAATTAACGTCCGATGTAGCAGTCTTGTTACTTCGAATAATGAAATTCTGCCGAGAGACTTTGTTACCCCCTACTCGAATTCTATTGCCGTTGAGTATGAACGGTAGATAGGTGGTGGTGGTGGGTACCATGAAAGTCATAAGAATTTGGAGATCGAGAATAATATTCGAGCAATGATAATAGCTCTTTTCTTCGTTTGTCAGATGTAGTTGGATAAAAGAGAACAAAAAGAATAGTGTCTCCGTATAAGATAGTTTATCATTTCTAGAGACGCGTAATGAACGTAAGTTGTCGTAGTAGTGGTTTATTGAACGTCAGAAAAGTTTCATTGAAAGAGTCGCATATAATAACTCTCGAGAACAAAGTTTCGTTGAAATAGTACACTTTTCTGGGGTGAAAGTAACACAGCTGTGTTCTTTCTTCTTGTATTTTACAGCAAGATTTTTTAAATCAGTTTTYTTTTTMTTGWKYYTTTYTKYWTTWTTTTYYWTTTYTTWTTCAGTGATGTTTGTATTGTCATTATGAAACGAGGCCAAAATGTTGAAGGCCAAAAATATTCAAAATTATAATTATTATAACATAAAAGGCGTTAGGAATTCTCCCACTAGTGTAGTTTTCTTACTTAAAAAAAAAAAATAATAATTAATATCTTTGTAATTCCTAGTACCTTTCGAGTATTCGTAGAACTAATTGTAAGGCTAGCGTTATTTGCGTCGACATTACATCTTAATAAAATAATAAAACTAGACTATGACTTAGGGATAGAAGCATCCCGTGGGTCGTTTTGTCGAGAATTACGTTGAAAACAACTTTATACATATATTATATTTTCGCAACCTACGAAGCAACCCCCGCAATCCTGGTAACATTATTACGTTGAAGAAGAAGAAGAAGAAGGCAAGGTTTAGGAAGGAATAGAATAGTCATGATTGTAATTTCGAAATAATGTAAAGTTCGAAGCACAAAACGTATATAGCTCGAGGAAACATCTACGCGTTTTAAAAATAAATGAAAAGTAAGAAAGAGAGAAGAATGAAGAGGATCATGATGAAAAAGAAATTTTGTTTAGACGTGCAACATGGTGGGTGGCCATGTAAACGCGGATAAGTTTTCTTCCTTGAACAAGGAAAAGAATACAAAACTCATCGATCGACTAAACTTCTACCAGTTGTTTAAGTTGTTCTGCATTTTGGTAAAATCCTTCCGTAACTTCTCGTTCCGATGTCTTTTTGATCCTTTGATAGCAGCCTTCTTTGCGGGTTATTTCTTGTTGATACTAGCCATGTACAAAGAAGAATGTTCAAAGCTAAAGTAAACGCTGCATCCCAAAGTCTGATCACATTTATTTCCGATTCTGTCCTTTTCTTTTTTCAATGTTTAGTCTCTGTTATACGTTCGTTGGCCTTCGTATCGTTTTCCTGGATCTAACCACCACCATCTCTTTCCTCACGGGCATTGATCGTACGCATTTGACTTGTAAATAACTAGTACCAACGAGAGAAAGGACATTGGATATGCAGAAAGAGACGAAAGTAAAGAGTTTACATTAGTCGACATAAAAAGAAGTGGCTCATAGAAAGAGTTAACGCAAAGAGGACTCTTCTCCGAGGAATACAAGTGTGTTATATCTCATTGAGAATAACTTCCTTGACTATACGTCTTTTCTTCTTTTTTACCAATTTATGTAAGATGAACGAAAAGAAGAAGAATAGGGAAAGAAGGAAAAAAGGGAGAAAAAATTTACGATATAAAAGGTTAACAGATATATATATATATATATAATGCTTTGGCAAAAAGGTTTGCTAAGAAAAGAGAATAAAAAAGGGAAAAGAGGTCAAGTGCGAAGTCAATGGAGTTTTTATCGAAGCAATAGAATTTTAAATCTGCTACCAGCCGATCTATCAATCAAGAGTTCTTGGACATTACACGCATACTTAGCTTTCCTCGACAACGCTGTGTTCTTTTTACGAAAACTTCATTTATCACAGGGGCGCCCTAAGAAGATTATTATCGTTAGTTTTTTGGCTTGTCCTTTTTCCTTTTTCTTCTTTACTTTTTTCTTTCCTAACGTTCTCTTTCATAACGTGTTGTATAGAACGAGTTTTTTTTTTCCTGGACGGTTGTCGAAATATGAACTACGGGTAAAGCCGTGTAACTTCTAGGTTGTCGTTCTTCTATAAAGATTCATCGAGATAGACGGTCTAGCTTCGAAATCATGATAAAACCTTGCTGGAAAAATCACGCGACAGTCGTACGAATACTTAAACGCGTAAGCTGAGCTTTCCGATCAACGTAAATCGGAAAACTCGTGAGACCTTTGGGAATCGAATATGTTGGAGTTTATCTCTTTTTCCTATCCTACGGGAAGTTTGTTTGGGAGATTGTAGACGTGACTTCTAGAAGTGTCTTATGCAATCACCATCATTCGCATGAAATAGAATTTTTCAATCTTATTTCAAGTTTTCTATGAATAATGAAATTTTCTAATGTTGCATAAGTTCGTAAATTTTCTTCAATTATAACAGTTTCTTTGCCAAGATATAAACTACTTACGATTTCAGATTAATTATTTGAAATCTATCCAAATGTAATTTAATTTACTATTAATATTTTAATATTAAAATGTGACGTATCGTGTTTAATACATTATTATGCAAAATTAGTTATATAAACATCATAATAATAATAATAATATTAATAATAATAATAATAATAATAATAATAATAATAATAATAATAATAATAATAATAATAATAATAATGTACGATCATTATTTTGATGATAGACTAAAAGGAAGTCTGAAGGGTTAAGTTTCCCAACGGGCCTAAAGTCGAAAGATATTATCGTCCCTCATGGTATGATCAGATGCTTGACGTGATTGTGCAGGCTCGTTATGAATATATTGTATTTAGAAGATAATTTAACTTGTAACAAGATATATTCATTTGGGAATTAATCATTGAAAAATGTATTATTAATTTTGTTTTTTATTTGACTTATAATTACTATCAGCCAAATTCAAATGTGGAATCTATCTGAAACTAACAATAACCCAGTGAACGAGTTATTTATAAAATCGTTTAGTCGGTTATGAATTAATTTTGATTTTTCATATTGGTGTAGTGAAATAGGTCGAACGTTATCCGCTTTAGTGACTCATCAAATTACGACACTCCTTGTTTTTTAGCATCCAATTTAGTATAATCGGCTGAAAAAAGGATATTAAATAAATATTTCGATAAAGTTATCGGATGTATTCGTGCGAATCCTTGAAACCATGTACGATCAATGAACTCGAAATGTTACCAGCAACATAGCAACTGCTCTGCGGTGGCTTGTCACGCGCGTTGACTAAGGTCTATACTGTTCTAATGAAATAATTACGCAATATGTTAATTGAGGTGGGAATACGGCGTATAAAGGCTGAGTTAATGTGCAATATT